CAAGCACGTGAGCAATCACAGGCAGCCTCTTTCTCACCAGCTTCTGATCTGCCGGCTTGGCTGAAACTGCCGGCTCAGCAATCAAATCAGAAGCAGATCGGCTGTCGATATTCGTGGCCCGGTCGACCGATGAGTTGCTCGACATGGGTTCGCGCAGGCTGCCCTAGTACGTAATGCCACGATAATGCGGCCGTCGCCTCGCCCACCGGCATTGACCTGAGGATAGGATATGTACGGGAGACTCTCTAATCAATGAATCTATCGGAAGAACGCGCGGGGACCAGCCAGACCGGAGCACACCCTGGCTCCGCGCCGCCGTCTTCCTCCGAAGGCTGGCGAGGTAATGGAGATGAGGAAGATGAAGATAACCGTACGATTGAGGTGGTTAAGAAAAAACAGCCACAGTTGATACTAGACGTGCCATTCGCGTGGCAGAGCAGAGCCTTGCCTTTTGCTCCCACATACATGTGATGTTATGCCCCAACATGAGGATATGATAAGGTTGCCAACGGGGTAACACTGCTATGCTCGAGGCAGCTGACCTCGTGCTCTTCCTAACGGTTCCGCTGCGGGGAGAGACTAGCGAATTGATTACCCGCCACCCTCGGCCGGCCGTAGAGAGAATTGGCGGTTTTCTGGGTATTAAAATTAAGAGCGACGCTGGAAAGAAGGAGAGAAAAAAAGAGAGACATGGAAAAAAAAGCGGAGAACTGCTGAACCGTGGGACATCACGATTTCTGCCAGCCAAAAAAGCACGTCGGGGTGCGACTCCGAGTTCCCCGTGTTTACATCTCTGGCCATCACCGAAACGCGCCCCCATAATCCCTCGAGACTGTCCCCGCTAGCGCCTTGCAGAGCACGAGGAGCATCTGGATACCATCGTTCGACCCGGGCCAGGCGTGATCCCCATTACCCGTCCCCAGCAATCAGTCCGGTTGGGGCGTGAGGGGGGCCAGGGCAAGGCAAGGCAAGGCAAGGGGCAGACCGGCCGGCGGCGCGGGCCCGAAAACCGCTCATCAGCTGAGTGAGAGCGCGACTGAGAAGCGAACCGCCAGACGAGACGGGCTTCTTCGTCCACGATGGCGAGGGAGAGCGACAGCGCCCACGACATGTTGCCGTCGTCGCCAGAGCCTGAGCCGGGCCGTGACGAGCCGCATAGCAGCCCGAACCACGACCACGAGCTCGGGGAGCGCCCGGCGAAGAGGCACAAGGGCGCCAATGAGTCGTCTCAGACGGCTGGTGTAAGTCTTACCACTTCCGTTGCCGTTTGCATCTGCCCAGAGCGCCATTCACCACACCCGTCCTGTCCTACCTGCCCTTCATGCTCAGTCCCGTCTCCCCGCCTGCTGCTCGTCCTGGTTCTGGTTGGGCTTTACCTAAGCCTGCCTTGCATCAGATTAGCCTTAACCGGCAATAACGAGTCTTGTTGATGGCGGTCTATATCCTATCACTCATCTGTGGACCATCCATGTCCGTCGCCCTATCATCTGAACCACAGTACTCTCCCCCTCGTTCTGATATCTGACCATTGCCTCTCAATTCAACCTACCCTCCTCGTCGTTGCATGATGTTCAGACAAGACAGTCACTTGGTTGCTATACGACTTGCTAATGACTGAGTCAGCCCACACGAAGACAAGCTGCCTGCCAGGCATGTCGTGTTCGCAAAGTCAAATGTGACAAGAAGAGGCCATGTGCCCTGTGCCGAGCCAGCGGTGTCGTCTGCGAGTATCTCGGGGACTCGTCAGACAAGATAACGTATGTTGAACCATCGTCGTCTACTATTCTCGAGACTGACTTTGCTAGGCTCGAGTCTGCTACAAACAGCATCCTCGAGAAGCTCGATCATCTTCAGCAAGAGTTGCAGACTGTAAAACAGGCTACAGCTTCCCAACACCAGCAGGAAAACACCTATCATGGTTCGTTACCTTAACTGTAACAACGGAATGTCAGATATATGTATATTGACCAATGGATTGGAATAAGCAGATGAGGAGGCCATGCGAGGTCGGTTCCCACGGCCATCACTTCAAGAAAGCGCCCCTCACCTTGTAGATGCTATCCGCACCCGCTCAGAGACCTCCTTTGAGCCGTCAAGAGACTTCCTACGTATCCCTCCACAACGCGCCAGCGCAGACACAATCCTTCGATGGGGCATCTGGCAGAAAAAGTACCCGCCAAACGCTCTTATTGGTGTTCTCTTCAGTTCAGATCATCGTGATCGGAATTCCCAAGGAAGAACGCCGGTTCCTGATCTCATCGCCTCAGCGAGAGGTCTCGTTCATCTAAACGAGGAGCAGATCCCATCGCTCGTCGACTGTTTTCTTACTAATGTGTACACCAAAAACCCGATTCTAGATGTAGAGTCCCTCATCAAGCACAGCCGAAGATGTTCGGAACACGGAATGGGCTGGGGTGGTTGGTCCTGTCTTGTTCTTATGGCCTGCGCACTTGGTGCTGTTTCGAAACCTTTCGATAGAGCACTACCTAATGGCCACTCTCCTACCCACGAGAGAGCGCCTCGGCAGACATCCAACACTTCAGTCGGTCTTCATTCTCAGGAGCTGCAGCTGGGTGATTCTTGCTTCACCCTCGCGTGTCGACGACTCGGATCACTCAAGTACTCACTCCTGGGCGCCCAGTGTCACTTCTTCGCTGGTGTCTACTTAATGTATACGTTACGGCCCCTCGAGTCCTGGCATTATTTCTACCAAGCGTCTCTTTTCTGTCAGTTCGACCTTCGCATGACACATGGTCTCTCCGACACCTTTGCAGAGGTTCTGGGCGCGCCGCCGCCACACACTCTTGATTCAGCAGGCCGCAAAGCCCGCCGTCTCGAGCAGAGCCTTTACTGGTCTTGCTTCAAGTCGGAGTGCGAATTCCGCGTAGAGCTTCCCCTCCCCCAGTCTGAGATCAGCCTGGGCGAATATCCGAACCTGTTTCCTTCCCCGCCATCTCCTGTGCCCATGAATGCAGACGCGGGCACTACCGACGACGGTGGCGGGATCCTGGGTAACGGTGGCAGTCATTCTCATCTGACCCCCGAGCAATTAGAGCTTCGGCAACACTCCCAGCGCCTCTGCAACGAGGAAGAGAGCTGGTACTACTACCTCACTGAGATCGCCCTCCGCCGCATTGGAAACCGCATCATCAACACCTTCTTCCACGACCCAGACCAATCCGCGTGGCTCCACAACATCCGTCCCCTCCTCCGCATAGGCCAGGAGTTCGAAAGCCAGATATCCTCCTGGTCCGCCCATCTCCCCCGCGCCATGCAAACCTACGAAAGCGAATCCGTCATACGGGCTCCTCACCTAGACTACTCAAACGAGCGGACCAGCGGCCACGTCTCCCGCGAGCTCAGCTGGGCCATCGACAACCGCCTCCTCGAGATGCAGACCTGGCTCTACCAGCCCTTCCTTTACTACCTCTGCCACGCGGGCCAGTCGCGCCGCAACAACTCCGCCTCCGCCTCAACCCCCACGAGTAATAACCCCGTCACTAGCCTCCTCAACCCGTGGTCCCCGGCCGCGAGCTCAACCCCCTCAATGGACTACCTCGCCGCCGGGCAGCAGCACAACCAGCACCATCACCACCACCACATGTCCGGCATGAACAACAACGCCGCGGCCGCCGCCCAGGCCCTCGCGCTGGACATGGACGACCTCCCCATCCTGCACTCCCTCATCCGCTCGGGCATAGACTGCTCCCTCAAGACCATCGACGTGCGCGCCCGCTGGCACCGCCACCACGGGCTCTGGTTCGACCTCCGCGCCATCATGAGCGCCTCGCTCACCCTCCTCGCCGTTGTCAAGAGCGGCAACGTGGCCTGGATCCCGGGAGGGGACGAGACGCTGTGGGGGGTGAGTACCCCCGGTGAGGGCATGGGCGTGACGGCGCCGATTGGGGGTAAGCTGGGCAAGGTGCTTGAGCAGTTTGACTTTTGGGCCGCTGAGGCGCCGGACATGCCGAGGTATCGGCAGGTGTTGGAGTCGGTTGTAAGGGAGGTGAGGGGTTCGTGATGGAGTCTTGGCCTCTCGGTTGTATATATAAAAGCATGGCACATACGTTGGATGAGCGACGAAGAAAATCTGGGAAGGAAATTTGTGCATTTTGAATTATTGAGTTGATTAAAAATGGTTACGAGCATTTCTTTTCGCGGAACATGAGCGCTGGTTTACATTAGGTAGTTTGGCAGGCGGGTGTGAAATAGGACGTACACGGCTCAATGCAATGCATTTTCTCGATTATTTTATTAGGCGAAGCTAACTAAGTTCGTGAAATATGCTATATTTCAGTATACTTCTTTGATTAACATCGTGGTGATGGAGCTGTTAAACATTTTGGTTTTGTGGGAGAGCAAAACACTATATGTAGCAAAAGATGAAGCCTCGAAGCACAGCCCAGATACTAAAGCAATTTGGCGCAGTGGAAGCGCGGTATGTAATTTCTATGACTCACCGCACTAGAACCCAAAACTAACATTCATCCAGCCGGGCTCATAACCCGGAGGTCCTACGATCGAAACGTAGAATTGCTATTCTGGCTTTCTTTTTTTGCCTTTTTTTCTAGGTCTTTTTGATACCTGACGATAATCTATACTGATATACCATAGGTATTTTTCTATCGTTTAGTTCTTTTTGTATTGAAAATGCGGGTGGGAGTGAGGAAGGTCATTGGCTCTTGGTGTAGCAATAGATATGCGATCCGATATCGCACCGCCTACTTCTCCTCGGAGGCTGTACATGTAAACCAAGCCTATTGAATAGCAATGCTACGTATATGTGTTGGCAGGTGGCTCAGCAGTCAGCTGACAACAAGTCTCAAACGAGCTCAGCCGCATGGTTGGGCACCCAGCGCCGTATACATAGGATGATAAATTTTTCAGGACCCCAGAGACCGTGGACAATAATTTGACTTTCGTTTTGAGTCCCAAGTGAGTGACGTCGGATTCCCGACAAGATGTCCTGCTCGCGTGAGCAACAACACACCGAACTCGTGATGGCCAAATCAAAGTGCTATCGAATCCAGCCGATACCAAGCGCAACCACGGAAGATCAAGTGAAGAACTTGATCAACGAATGCTTGTCAACTCCGTTAGATGGGCTACGAATCACTCTTGCGCCATTACACCCGCGTTGGCTCACTTCTACCGTTGTGTTGCATGAAACGCTTGAGAAGCTCAAATATCCTGTCGATGACGGCTTCATTGGCATAACACCATTACATGGAAACGAGCTTTCGGTAGTAGAGTAAGATTTTGCAGATGATGGTGATGGATGGTTTAGAACTAACGCAGTTGTAGCATCATCGCCGTTCCAGGGTTAGGAAGCCATGCGATCGGTGGCTTCAAAGTGAAGGATGGGACAACCAACTGGTTTCGCGACTTCCTTCCCGAGGACATCCCCCAGGCCAGACTTTTGACATACGGCTATGACAGTTCGCTTGCCGCGACCGATGCGAAATATTCCATTGGCGACTTGGCCGACACCTTCTTGGACGCTTTTTTAACCTTTCGTGACGACACGAGCACGTCTAAGAGGCCGATCATTTTTATTGGACATAGCCTCGGTGGGCTGATAATCAAAGAGGTTTGCTTCGTTATCAAAAGAGTACCTTTCTTAAAGCTAACTAGACACAGGCTCTGGCAAAAGCGCATGGTGCTGCCACCGATGACCGATACGGCGACTTTTGCAAGTCCTCATATGGCTTCGCCTTCTTCGGTGTTCCAAACCACGGTATCCGACGCGGGAGCCTGAAAGATATTGTGGTTGGCCAGCCCAACGAGCAGTTGATACATGATCTCGAAGTAGATAGCGAGGGCGAGCCGACTCCTTATCTTCGAGAACTAAAGAAGAACTTCGTTAAGAGCTGCAAATCACAAACTCACCCGTCCAAGATTATTCTATATTATGAGCTGAGGAAGACGAAATCTATTCAAGTAGGTTCTTGCCCATTATTTGAGTGTCTCTATGCTAAGTCTTATTCAGAGGACCGACAATGGGGCCATATCTCCTTGCGGTGACCCAAAATTTATGGTTACGCAGGATTCAGCTTGCCAAATTGGCCTGGAAGACAATGAAATCAACAAACATGCTATATATGCGGATCACTCCAGCTTGGTCAAATTCGTAAACCAGGTCGATATTAATTACTCCCGGGTACTGAACCAATTGAAGCGGATGGCAACAGATGCGCCAGATGTAGTGCTTCTTAGATTCGCACAACGGTGTAGGTGTAGGCGCTCTCTAGAAAAGGGTAATGGCTAACTTGGAGCTACCAAGCTGTAGAACCATTGACGAGCGAAAAACTCCGTGGAAATATCTTTCACGCTAGGCAATCGGCATCACTGGCAGGAGCTAGCAGTCATTCACCCCACATTGTGCAGGATGAGGTTCATATCAAACCAGCGTTTCAACCTAGTAACGACGAAGTTCAGTGCATCCGAGAGCTGTTGCTGACAAGCCCAGCTAGCGACCGTGGTGGAATTATCACTGCAAAGGGAGACAGGGTGGACGGCACATGCGAATGGATCACATCTACTGTTGAGTATACTCAGTGGATGCAATCTACCTCTGGCCTTCTTTGGATTGTCGGTGGGCCTGGAAAAGGCAAAACGTTCCTCTCCATCTATCTCACCGAGATTCTGGATAAACCCGGGAGAACCTTAATTTATTTCTTCTGCGACAACAAGATCTCTTCTCGTAACACAGGCTCGGCCGTTCTTCGTGGCATCATACATCAACTGATCGAGCAACAACCCCAGCTCATGAAGCATCTTCTACGGCAATGGCAGCTTCAAGGGTCTGCATTGCTGTTCAATGACCACGGATTCGAAAGTCTTTGGAGAATATTCCAAACCATGGTTGAAGATTTGAAAGGGCTGGAGCTTTACTGTGTCCTTGATGGCCTAGATGAGTGCAATGAACATTCTCTAAAACAGCTTCTTCGGAAAATAGAGTCACTGTTCAATCAACATGGCGCGAAACAAACGCTGAAAATGATCGTCGTCAGTAGGAGGTACCCTTACTGCCTCGAGAGTACTTTGGGTTCTTTCACACAGATCAACCTAGACTCGGCGCATGAAAACAATGTGAAAAGCGACATAGATTCCTACATTTCAGTCCGGCTAGCTGACCTTAACAAGAAGAGGTCGATTTCACAAAGTCTGGCCGATCACATTAGGAAAACTTTTCACAAAAATTCCCAAGGTACATTTCTTTGGATCAGTTTCATGATGGAGGATTTCCATAAGAAGAATGTTGCCAACATCGAAAAGGCCTTGGATAGTCTTCCGTGTGGTCTTGATGAGGTTTACGAACGGATTCTGTTACAAATCCAACCAGAAAATATGGCCATCATCGCAAACATTTTGAATTGGGTAGCTTTGTCCTATGACGAACTGAGCGTGGCACAAATAGCCGAAGCGGTGGGGATCCAGGCTTCAGAATATTCATCTCGGAACCAAGTTTGCCTGGACCATATCGAGTCCTGTGGCCATTTACTCCAGGTATTCGAGAGATCACATTTATTCATTCCAACCGTCAGAGACGAAGACGAAAGTTCCATGTCCTACGCCACAGAGGTAAATCTCACAATTGTTACTCTTGTTCATCAGAGCGCGAAAGACTTTCTAGCTCAACAAAACCTATCGCCGAGAATTAAGCCATTCCAAGTTCATGAAGTCCGTGGCAATATTCTCATCATGGAACGACTTCTGTCTTCAATGCAAAGGGACGACTGGATTCGAGCTTTTCCCAAGACGGATTGTAAGCAATATGGATATGGCACCCTGTTTTCCTACGCGAGTGACTCCTGGAAAACTCACCTAAGACAGCTCAAAAGCAAAGATCTTTTGCGCTTGGTTGAGGAAAACAAACCATTCTTTGCAGATGATTCGGATGTTAGAAATCTTTGGGACTGGGGTCATTTCTCGAAAAGTTTTCCTAGAAAGTCGATACTCCATTTTGCATGCGGGCTCAGGCTTGTTGCCTTGGTCGAGAAGGTTTTGAAACGGAAGAGACTAAATCCGTTTACCTTCCAACGATATATCGACGAGCCACAGCCAGAAACGCCGCTTGCTATCGCGATCAAGAGTCAACATTACACTCTCGTTGAGGTGTTATTGAAGTTCGGGGCGATTGGCGAGATGGCTCAGGGACATGAGATGCGCCTTGCCGGTGAGCTCTGTTTATTCAACATCTTTGAACTCTTATCCGAAACTAAAAGTGGCAAACGGTTTATCAAAATGGACCGTTCTTCACTACCACCATGGGGGACTTCGTTGATGTATCACTCTGTAACACAGGGCAACGATAAGCTGTGTCGGCTCCTTCTCGAGAAATACGGGTACAAAGTAGATGTTCTAATCGCGAACCAGCCCCCTCTACTTGTTGCAATTAGTTCAGGGCGCTATGAAATTGCAAAGATTCTTGCTGCCGATTACGGTGCTAGCACTGATGATCATGCTGGGATCATCTCGGCACTGATGGAAGGCCTCCGCCCTTCCACACGCTTCCAAGTGCCACTGCAGCTGATCTTCTCTGAATGGAAAATCGACATAAACCAACAGGATAGGGCCGGGCGCACAATGCTTCACTTCATTATACAGAATACTCAAAGCGTCTCGGGTGACGGCTACGAACTTCTCAGACAGTGTTTGGCCGACGGATGTGATCCAACTCCTAGAACCATGGAAGATGATTCCCCCCTTCACTCAATAAGATGGTTTGCTCCATATCAGGGCCATGATTTTCCTAAGATGGGTCCCTTCCCGATGAGAAGCGTCATCTTATTAATGGCTGAAGGCGGACTCGATATCAACAATCCAGGAAAGGGAGGGATTCTCCCACTCCACCGGCTCGTACAGGATGCGTTCGATCCCAAGATTTCCGAGCACAGAGTTGGTAGTGCTGCCAAAATTGAGGGCCTCAGCCGGCTTCTTGATTTTGGCGCCGATAGAAATATCAAAACATCGCTGGGACTGACCGCCGTACAAGTCGCCAAACAGTGCTACGACATGACAAAAGATATTGAGGGCCGCGAAGGATATTGTGCAGAAACGTTGGCGGAAATCACCGACGTGCTAGAGAACTATGCAACTGTGACCAACGCAGTACAAAATCTAGCCTATGTAGGTTTTGAAAGCTCAGAAGGGCCTGCCTGATCTTGTCGAGATAATGGATGAATCACATATTTAAGAAAAGAAAGAGCCTAAGCTGGCCTATCTAAAAGATCTCGCCATCGGTAAAATACTTAGGTTGATAATCGTCATTATTCAATGGCTAGGCCAGTCGTGTGATTGTATAAATAGTGTGGTGGTGTAAATAAAGGGTAAATGTTTCACACCGCATGTTTTCAGGCGTATTATATGCAGCGGATTAAGATGATGTTTTAGATATTTATTTCAGCTATGCTGGTCATAGCTGACGCGATGCGCTACCATGTTCTACAATTAGAGACCCAAGCAATGTAAAACCCTGTGCTTAGCGGCATTCAAGACGACTGCTTCGTCACTCAAGCTGTTTCAACCTTGCGGTCAACCTTCATAACACTGATTATTTTGCTTTCCTCGAGCCCTTCTGCATTCTGAGGCTGATCCTTCCAAGGCTGGTTCTTCCAGTGCCTTGCCGGAATGCCCTCTCGGAAAAACCCGTTGATCTCTTCAATGCTGCGTCCAGTGACTTCTCCTACGCAAAAGTAGACATAGGCCCAGGTAATGAAGCAAAGTCCCGTGTACACAAATCCAGTCTTGGGGCCTAGATTGGCAGAGTAGTACAGGTACGGAAGGGTGAAGACGGTGACCCAGACTGTGACCCAGAAGGAAGCCACGGCAACAGCATAGATTTTGTTGCGATTGCGTCCCACGGCCATTTCGGACGCCTGTTTTACAATATTAGCAGCTTTTGGTAGATGGAAGATGGGGGATGACTTACGATGGTCCAGCCCAAAGGGCCCCAGGCAAAGTTGAATGCCGCTATTTCGATGATGACGAAACTGATAATCACCTTTCCAATTGTATCGCTGGGGTTGTTTCCCGGGATCCCAAGACACCCCACGACGAAGATGGAAGCGGTCATGATGCCAGTGGTGACCATCAACAGCGGTCTTCGAGGGAGCTTGTTGGCTAACAGCACTGCGGCTAAGACGACGAACACTTGGATAATGAAGACAATAAGTGTCATGAGGAAAGGGTCGCTCAATCCGATGGCCTTGGAGAAGACGGTGCCAAAATAGTAGAACCACTGGATTCCGTTGACCTGCTGGGCGATCAGGGCTCCGGCACTGTAAATTACCTTGCGCCTCTCCACGGGGTCCGTGATGAGCTGCATCCAGCCTCCATCGGACTCCTGCTCGGCTTCCCGGTCCAGGTCTGCCTGGATTGCGTCGATCAGAGGCTTGGGATCGTAGTTCTTGTCCTCGTGTCGGAGAAGGCGTAGCGCCTTGTCAGTCTTCTCGGATTTTCCCTTGCGGAGAAGCCATCGGGGAGACTCTGGCACCCAATAGAGGCCGGCGAGGATAATGGTAGGGAAGAGGAGCTGGAAGCCGATGGGGAAGCGGTAGGCAAAGGTTGTATCGATATTGACGACACCGCGGTTGATGGCGGCGGCGATGATTTGAGAGACGGAGAGCGTCAGTTGCCAACACATGAGAAGGGGGCTGCGCATAGAGTCTGGCGCGATTTCCTATAGAAAGTTAGCTACCGCCGAAAAAAAAACTCTGAAAATACGGAGGTAAAGCAAGAAAGTACGCACACCCATGTACAAAGGAGAAGTGGCTGAGAAGGCGCCGACTCCGTATCCCAAGATCGCTCGGCCGGCTGTAATCAGGGATTGACTAGACGTCGTAACAAGCTGCATAATGACACCGATGACAATCGCCACGGTTCCAACAAGAAAGACGCCCTTGCGTCCCAAGAAGTCGTTTAGGGGCGCTGCAGTAAGGGATCCAAGAAGCTCGCCGACGTTGATCATGGAAGTCATGACGGCGAGATTGGATGGTGAGATTTCATACTCTCCGTGAGAATTAAGCTGGCCAAAATGGCTCACAAAGACATCTGCGCGCATTGTCAGAATCAAAGCCCATGTTCAACAGGCCGACAGCACCTACCTAATGTCGAAACGCCGTTGAAGTACACTCCATCATATCCGTAAAGACAGGCTCCAAGGGCAGCAAAGCCACAGAAGAGCCAGACGTATGGATACTTGATCTTAGCCATGATGATACCAATGTTGATGATGAGTGGGTTTGCTTAGCTGTTGGATTCTTGGTGATGGGAGAGCAGGCATCCCGGGTCTTATATCCCCAGAGCCGCCACAGAGGTCAGAGTCATTTGCCTTTCGGATTTTTTGGACCAACATCCCATGCTCCGTAATATGGAGAAATTACCCCAGACAATGTCCCAACGGGCTGGTTTCTGGGGCCACATGAAGAGCTGAGAACTGCTGGTGAGGGAGCGAAGTGTTTCCTTGTGGAACTAGTGACCCCAGACTGATCCACATCGGGATGTCTTCTCAACTCTGGTTCGACGTGAGTGAACTATCCTTACCGTCGCCTTTCCATATTTGGAATGCCGTCGGCCGGCATCCTCAACGAGGGTCCAGCGACGGCCGGGACATGGCTGCCGTCGGGGAGAACATGCCATCAGAGGGCGTTCCTCGTCTAGGGTCCATTAAGAGCGTGGGTTGTTCATGGAAGGTATATTATTTGTGTGGCATCTTGGATATGGAGGACTGTTTCGTAGCTCACTCCTAGGACAAATCCCAAGTTTCAATTTCCTGTAACCATGGGGTCAACGAACCACCAAGACTTACACCGCCAGGTGCCAACACCTCCTGCCGAAGAGACGCTCTACAGCCGTCCATCTGCTGCTCAAGCGGCTGCGGATGTTATTCCTATCCTCGTGGATGACACATATCATGTATTCCACCTCACAACACCCCCATTCACAAGACATCACCCTCCCCGTCTCAGATCTACCTGGTCACGACTCAAGACGAAAGACTTGGTAAACTGGACCAGAGACCAGGAAATGGTTCTCCGCCCGGGAGCTAATTCGTCAGACCCCGATGCTGACGGGGCGTGGACTGGATGTGCCGTCCAGGGACCAGACGGGTGCATGAACATCTTCTACACCGGTTATAATCTCTCACAGAACGGCAAGCAAGTCATTTTGCGGGTGGCATCAGAAGATCCACATGGGACCGTATTCGAGGGACAAGCCAAAGTTATCACTATCTGTGGAGATGGGTCACAGTACGAGGAGATCGACTTTCGAGACCCTTACATCTTCTTCAATGAAGCAGAGGGCAAGTACTGGATGCTTGTTTCGAGACGCCTCGCTGCTGGTTCGTACTGGTACAGAGGGTGTATCGCCCTGTTAACATCAACAAATCTCGACACATGGGAGCTTGACCCCGAGCCTCTATATGCACCCAACGACATGCTATGCCCAGAGTGCCCGGAGATGTTCTCGCTTCCGAATGGCAAATGGTACTTGGTCTACTCCAGGTTCCATGCGTCCAACGCAGGAACTGTATATCGCATCGCCGATAGTCCTCGAGGGCCTTTTCGCATCCCCAGAGACGGGTCGCATGGGAGGCTAGATGGAAGGAGATGGTATGCTGCCAAGTCCTGCCCCAAGGCCGGAGACCCCGCGAGGCGAGTGTACTTTGGCTGGGTGGGCGACTATGTGGATGAGGAGGGGAAGTGGTTATGGGGAGGCGACCTTGGAGTTCCTCGTGAGATATCTGCAGAAGAGCAAGGCTACCTAAAGCTCGAAGTAGCCAGCACGTACCTGAATGATCTTTGGCAGTATTCGCAACCATTGACGCTTGGCATTGGCCCAACCTTGGATTTAACCTCCATCGGGTCTACCGTCAACCACTTCCCCAAGATCAGTCCTCAGGAGGAACTTCAGGATTTACTTGTCAGCTTCCGCCTAAGAAGTGACGCTCACGCTTGCGGCGTGGTGCTTCAGCACGACAGTACAGGAAAAGGCTACACTTTGCGGTTTGAGTCATCGAAGTCTGGTCTCTTTTCGATGTCGCTACTTGTGGATTTCCCGTCTTTGGATGACTTTTGGGCCGACCAGTACAACATCCATCTTCCTCGGCCCGTAGATGGGCCCGAGATTACTAGACACGAAGAAGTAGATGTCTCCGACGGAATTATTCTACTATTGAGAGGGCAAGTCATTGAAGCATTCTGTGGTGGCCGTTCCATAACCTGGCGTCTTCCTCTCCCTAATGGTTCGACTAAGCCCACGGGGGAGACTAGGCGACTAGGATGGTTTGTAGAGGATGGCTCAATGTCGCTCAGTGATCTCAGCGTGCTCGCTGTGAAGACATAAGACGACTAAATCTCAGTATTGTAATGATAGACTGATAAACTTACATATTACATGTTAAAGAATCAATACAGTAGTTAGTTTACAATATCCCGCCCGTCAATCGTATCACCCCTCATCGTGAGTCCTTCCGGTGACAAGATCATGCCACTCAGCAAATCATACGCCCCATCGGCCGCCAAGTCCCAGTCGCCAAAGTCGGTAAATTCAAAGGTCTGGGCCGTTTGAAAACTGGCGACATCAGGGCCGACGTTATCATCGACTGGCTCGTTCAGATTGACAGCCAGCGAGTGCTCCAAGCCCCGAAGTATCGCGCCTTCAAGCCGGTTGACTGCATACTGCATCGGCCCGCTGCTTTTGCTCATCACCCGTAGCGTCCACAGGTACGAGTTTAGCGTCTCTTGCCAGAAGCTTCGCTCTTGCGAAGAGAGCGATGTGACCAGTAAGAGGGTGGTGAACGAGCCCAACAGAGAGAACAGGTACGGGGACGTGAAGTACCAGAATGCTTCGAGGTGGTCGGGACGCAGGTTTGTAACAAAGGCAATCGCGCCCTGGGCTGTCTGTAACGCGAGTTGGCGGATGTCGGCCAGGACTTGGTCATCTACACATCGAGGGGGCAAGATGGTCGAGCGAATAAGACGACGCAGCAAGGTTATCATGACTCCATAGTAGGAAAAGTGAAGATAGCCATGAAAGCACAGCTTCCTCTGATAGGTGATACCCATCTGCAATTCTGGTGGAATATTATTACTCCATTGCCTCAGTGCCTCGAATAGTGGTTGGGCCCGTTGATACAATAGAATAGTATCCTGTCCACG